AATATAAAATTATTTTGAGCATTTTTTACCGTAACAAATTAAATGTATTTTATGCATTCTATTAAAATAATGTCAAAAGAAAAAAGAATACGCCATGCGGTTATCATAGGGATAAACGATTGATTATGTACAGAACAAATAATAAATAAATTTTCTAACCTTAAGTAAGCTTTACCATCACACCCGTTGCTTTCTTTCTAGGTTGCTGCTAGCACAATATTTATTCGCGAAAACACGGTTACGATCTCGCACGCACTATTAATCAGAAAACGATTGCGCGATACTTTGCGCGGCATGACGTCATACGTGAGACGGGCGCTTTATTACATTGCGACGAAAGAATAATGCAAAAAAGATACGATCCACTCAGCTCCCGAAAACACAGTTATGATCCCGCGACACTTTACACGACACTCCCGCCGATGTTGATCACACGCGACACGCATTTTATTATATTACGACGAAAGAATTACGCGAAAAAGATGCGGTCACAAGAAGCTACGATCCATCCGGCACGCGCGACATCTCACAAATAAGCGCGCTGGACGAAAAGGCAGGGACAGTTTGAAAATCGCGCAGACAACTTCGCCTACTATCCGTTCGCCACGATGTTTATACATACATAGATCCCATTCCACATATATCACGTCGTATATTATGTCATAGAATAAAATTTTTGTTTTGCGATATAGAATCTAGAATCAGTTTACGAACACTTCATCGTATTAATAATCTCAAACATTTTACTATCCATGGAAAAATGAATTGCTTTGATAATAGTTTCTTGTATTAATATGAATATATTAATTACCATTCTTCTAATTTTTATAATTATATAATTATTACGTTAATTATTTTTAAAAAATATTTAGAATAACGAGGAATTTTTAGACATTGTTTTTATTTTGTACATTAAATACGCATTGGACGAAACAAAATATTTATCTGAAAATGTTTATTAGTTTTCAGTTTTCATATAATACAGGATAACAAGCGTACGGCGCGATGTCGTCTTAGTCTTGATGGAAAGAGTATCCGATATTACATGCATGCGTAACATTCTCTTTGCCCCGGAAAATTCATAAGAATAAGGTATAACTTGCCGGAAAAAGCGCAGCGTCGCAAACAGTCTCGTCTAATATATGCTCGACGCGTCTTCGCTCGTTGCTCGAATAAGTTTCTTCGTCGAGGTTTTAAGCGGTCGGACGGTCAACTTTATACGTCCGCGCTGGCGAATTATGGAAATCCTTCCTGAAAAAGTTCAAAGTGCGGCGAGATCACGCTAACGTGTCAAAAGGTGCAAGTCGCTGCTAAAGTTCGTCAAAAGTTTTGACAAAAAGCATTAATGTTTGTTTTTATGTTTTTATGTTGTTATTATTTTGGCGATAATATATTTGTAATTTGATAAAGACTAGCATTGAAGATATTTAATAAAAATTAATAAAATTACATGGTTAATCTATTTGCTAAGAAAAAAATACACATCAGTAATTTTTTTAAGAAACTTTATAAATCAAATTCTTTTAAATATCAAACATATAAATTCACTAAAAAAATAAAAATCTCAATTATTTGGACATTGATTATATTGTTGTTGTACTCCCCAAAAATGTGTTTTAATATAATAAAATTGTTTTATTAAAAAAATAGCGATTTTGATTATAATCTGTTGACATCATACAGAATTTTATTAAATAAGATAATATAAAAAGCACATATATTATACCACATTCAAATAAGCAGTATGTTTTTATTGGCCAATTCACATAATTTTTTTTTTTATGCAAATTAATACGTGCTAGCATGTGTGCAACCAGTAGCGCGGCAACCCTTAATACAGTCGTGTCTTGCGCAATAGCACGTGTTTTTACGTCTGTTATTCTTGTTCTGTCAGCTGGGAACGGTGGTTAAGAAATCCGGCGAGAGGTTAACGTAAAGTGAGAATATACTTAATATAATTGTATGAAATAAATAATCGTGTATATATACATATATATAGAGCGTGGATACTGTTAAAATTTGTAACAAAATGGATCCAGCTTTACTCAAAGAACGAGAGCTCTTCAAAAAGCGTGCTCTAACCACACCAGTGTGAGTATTCAAGTTGTTCTCTGTGTCTCTATTATGTTATTGTTTTATCAATATACACATCATATACATTAGAATTAAATTGTATAATTCAACCATAATTCACATGTAGAAATTTAATGCAGTTTATTTCTTTTTGCATACGATTGTAAAATATAGATATGTAATGTATCTCGCAATATTATACTTTAACCTCACGTATCAAAATATTTATATTATTTACTCAAGAATCTAGATATGTATCTAGATAGACAGATATATAGACATATATCTTATAATGTGTGATTGCAGAATTGAAAAGAAGAAACAGGAGAAGGAAACTACAAAAGATGAAGCGCCAAAGAAAAATGAACTGCCAAAGAAGAAACCTAAAGTATCGTCCATGTCTATGGGTCCTAAGTTGGATATGGTTAATTATAAAACCATGACTGGTAGTACGCAATACAAGTTTGGCGTATTAGCAAAGATAGTGAAGCACATGAAAGCAAGGCATCAGGAAGGAGATGATCATCCATTAACGTTGGAAGAGATTTTAGATGAAACAAATCAATTAGATGTTGGATCTAAAGTAAATGATGATTTGCATTATACGATACAGCACAACACGACGAAACATTCTTTTATAAGTATAAACATATTTGTTTCATATGTTATTAAAAGTTTATGTGAATGAATGTATTTATATAATTATATAACAGAAAGATATTTTTTGTTGTGTCACATCATGTTGTGTTGTACAATCGTGAAACATATAATCAATCTTAAGCATTGATTGTTTTCTGTATATTTATATTCCTGTTATTTTTTTATTTTAAAAACAAGTTGTTTTTCCTTATGTATTTTTAGGTTAAACAATGGCTGCAAACCGAAGCTTTATTAAAAAATCCTAAGATTGAAGTTACATCGGATAGTAGATTTGCCTTTAAACCTATGTATAAAATAAAAGATAAGAAATCCTTATTGAGGCTTTTGAAACAACATGATTTAAAAGGCCTTGGAGGTATATTATTGGAAGATATACAAGAGAGTTTACCGCACTGTGATAAACATTTAAAGGTAAGTTAAAATATATATAGAAATTTATTTCATAGCCATTTGCCTGACAAATGTTAATTATATATATATTTCAGAGTTTACAAAATGAAATTTTATATATTACACGACCGCTTGATAAGAAAAAGATTGTCTTTTATAATGACAAGACGGCACAGTTCCCTATAGATGATGAATTCCAAAAATTATGGAGAGCTGTTGCAGTAGATGCCATGGATGATCAGAAAATAGACGAATATCTTGAAAAACAAGGAATTAGATCAATGCAAGATCATGGTCTCAAAAAGGCAGCACCAATCAAACGAAAAAAACCTGTTAATAGAAGGAAACAATTTAAGAAACCAAGAGATAATGAACATTTAGTAGATGTTTTGGAAACGTATGATGATTAAATAAGGATATCATAAGTATTCTATTTTTTGAAAGAGCATGAAATATAAAAATTAAAAATTATCTTGAGATAATTAGTATTAGTCTCGAATAAAATTATTATATTATTTAATTTACCTATAAAAAGTATTATAATTCCTTTTTTTTAAACTTAAGTCTCATTTCTCAATGGGCATATGGATTAATCTTTATTGCTGATATAAATGCCATACTGAATATTTACTTGCATCGCAATACATATGTAAGATATATTTTTAGCATCTAACAAAATATTCACATTATGCCTGAAAGTAGACATGTAGAAATTTTGTCAATTATATTATATAGCAATTTTTTTATACATTCAATCTCTTTTCTCTGTTCTCTTCTAATCTGCCTCTCTTGATCTATAATTAAATAAAATCGCGTAACTTTAAACAGCGTGACTAAAGTAGATGTTGATTACCTGTCAATGCCATATTAAATTGTACATTATTACATTATGACACAATAAATTTTTCAAAGGTTTGTTTAGATGCATAGTTGCAGATTGATAGAAAATTTTTGGAAGAAAATTATATAAATAATTCCCCTGAAAGAGAGAGATTATGCAATTTTACAGTTGCAATTTATTTTAGACATATAATAAATAAGTAAAACATTTTTATTGTCACATGATATCTCTTATTATAAGTACAAAATAAATATAGAATATTATAAGAATCTCAACATTTATATAATAAATTTATATACTATTTATATTGGTCACACACAATCAGCCTTTCTTTAGATGCAATACTTGTTTCATTTGCTAATGCGATAAAAAAATTACAAAATATATTACTATTTTGTATAATATAAGAATTATAAAAATTAGAAACTGTTGACTGTTTTGTGTATTATGCTTTTTTTAAACTTTTTCTAAACTTTTTTTAACTTCTAGATTTCTTCAGCACATTTCAGTAATTTTAATTTTAGTTGAGCTTTAGATATTTTTTCTATTGTAAAAATATTATTTATAAAGATTTGTACATTCTAAACGTTACTCAATACACATATAAATCTTATTACTGTACAAATTCGAAACTATGATATTTTCTTTGGCATTTGTAGTTTTATCTTTTTTATTCATTATATAACAAAATTATAATTTTGAATTGTCCTGTTTTTCATACTTTTCAATTTTTTAAAAACACAGTTGTATTGATCTTTCGTCATAGGACATTCATTTCCTTATATTTGCAATATGCAAATATTTGGAACAACGATCTTATTCTTTCGGTAGAGCAGAGTCACTTTTTCCTCGCGAATAAGCACGCGTTGCTTTACTACCAAGCATTCTGTCCAGCAAAGATTGTTTATTTCTTCTTCTAGCTGCGAGAACTTCTCTGCATAATTCGTGAAAAGATTCCGCGACTTGAGCAACCTACACAAATTGTGACTGCTTGAAGAAAATTGTAGCTTACACTCCAAATATTAAGTAGAATCTCAGTTACCTGCTCAGCAGCAGTTATTTCACTAAACCAACATTCAAAATCCTTCGCTAATATTTCTCCTTCTTCACCACTGACTTGTCGTAAATGAACCATGTCAGCCTTATTTCCAACAAGAGCAAGAGGCATTGCAGCTTCAGGATCAGCCACCGCTAGAGCTTCTTTTGCCTTTCTAACAAAATTAAAAGAGTTTCTATCTGTTATCGAATAAACCAGCAGCAAACCGTCGGCCCATTGCAAAGTTTCCATTGATGGCAATTCATCCTCACTCTGAAATATTATTTTAGATATGTAGGAAACTTATTTATATATTAATATACGTATAAGAGATTTTCTTATAAAGAGAAATTACCTTTGGGCATGTATCTAAAATCTCAAAAAGAATAGGTTCGCCATCGACTAGTACCTCATGCTTGTATCTAGTTTCTAAAAAATAAGATAACAAATTTGCACTTAAGTATATTGATAATAGCTACATATTATTTAATTTTGTCTAACAATAAAGTTACGCGATTTTATAATAACTTATAACACACATATCATAACAAAATATTTCTCAATATATAAATTCCTTTTTCTAGTTCTTTTTAAAAAATTAAATTGTAGGTACTTGCATTAAATCAAATTGAAAATGTATCAATAGAACCAAATTAATATTTTAATGAATACTTTTATTATTATGCCTCTTTTTTATTTATTTATTTCTTTATTAAGTTATCTGTGTCAAGTAATTTGTCGTGTATTTTTTTTTCTTCCTTTCATTTATATTTATACAATAATATGATTCGAAAAGTATTTCTTTTAAACACGGTAATAACTGCTAGTACAACTGTTTCTTACGGTTAAAAAATAACAAAAAATAAATTTTTTGCATTTATTAGGATATAAACTCTCTTAATAATCTTATTATTTTTTCAAGATTGTAACGAGAGAGAAATATCTGTGATTTGTAAATTTAAATAAATGAATAAAAAGAATCCGACATAACTATCTGTGTAACTTTCCACTGCGCAACTATTTAAGGGCTAACGGACCCAATTTGTATATCATTAAGCAGTCTCTCAGATTGAATTTAGTTTGAGATGCTAACACGGTACGTACTTCTCTTTTACCTAAGACCGCGTCTGTATTTGTACAAAACGATAAGTTTTGTTCAAGTGTTGTATCAACCTTGCATTAGTACTCGTCCTGTCTAGTGTCAAATTCGTCGTCGATAAATTTAGAACAGACACGGACTAAGGTATGCAGAAGGAGAATATACGCGGCCTTTTAGTAGCGGATTACAGCTGCTGGCAATTTTTCAGAACTGGCGCGATATGCTATCGTATATACATATTTTAGCATACACATACATAAGTTCTATAAGTCATACAAATTGATAAATCGAAAGTATCGGTTATGTTCTTTCTCACCTGATTGATGATCGTATTCCCCGATGTATCTTCTCGTCAAAAATCTTACTGTCAGTGCTGAAATATAATGAAAATATATGTTATATGTGTATGTAACTAATTCAAGCGTTGACATAATTATGTTGTACGTGATATAATTGAGTTGGCAAACTATAATGACAACCCGCAGGATACTCTCGCGCCTCGAACTCGTATATATCACAGTGATCTATATTTTATCCATTTGTTACAGCTGTATCTACTTATGCAAGAGAAAATTAACGTAAAAATATCATTTTTAGGCAATAATTTTGCATAACAAATTGTATTTAATATTTAACTACATTTTATTTAAAAAATATAATATAAAAATCAGTACTTAATTTTATAAATAATTAATATCTAATTAATATTCCTAACCGCAGCAAGAAATTTCATAGACATTATCGTGTATAACTATTTCTGTATATTTGGAAGATTCTGTATATATTTCGTGTATCATAAATATATTTGATTATAATCATCATGTGTGCGTGTGTATGTGTGTGTATGTATTCTTTCAATATAAATTGATTGATAATATACATTCCTTTCTATATGTGTATATACAAATTTAAGAAGATAGATATTTTTTCTTATTATTCTACTTTCTAAAAATAACAACATTTAATTATAGAAAAATTTATGCTAAATCCGACAAATTGAAACATCTAAGCGAGACTTTCACTGCTGTAACGGTGTTTAATCTTCGACGCGTTGCTCCAAAGTAATGTCCATTCCATTAATCTCAATGTCTCGCGTGAAAGTGATAAAGAAAGGTTGATCATTGCGCTGATACGTGATCTTGCACGATACGATACTGCATTTAAACATATTGCGATTTGATCTGGGGAAACGAGAGAACAACCTAGTGACCCGCTTCGAGGTATACCACACTATTTTTATCACGAACTCAAAACCTGCCGCGGCGCCATAAAACCTTGCGCTGACGGTGCGTTAACGCCACTATGGCTTATTCCATCTCAAAAAGCGATAGGCACCGAATTTTTATTGAACACGTATCGTCGGTCTATATAGATTCGGGTGATATTGATCGCGGATGATATACAGAATCTAACTTTTTGATACTATAAAATCAACGTTCTGCAAAATTAATGAATCTACAAAGAAATATATCGGACGATTTGTCGGAACACAAAGTATTTTTAAGTCAAGCTCTGAGACTTTAGTATAGTAAATTTATTATTATATATATATAAATTCAAACATCTTTTGAATTTAGAAATGAAATAAATGTATAAATATTCCATGAATTCAATAACGTTAAAATGTACCTCTACTTGAGATATACATTGTCTATAACATAAGTCACAGTTTTGATCAACAGAAACATGTAAATGTTTTAAAATTAGTATAACGATCGAATTATATTTGCGTCGGAATTTGAGACTCAAAATCATTGCGATGTTATTTCTCTCCTCTTTGATTTAATCTCAATGTCAGTGGACGAGAGTTTAGGAATTTCGAGTAGGCCAAATTTTTGGAAAAAATTTAGTTTTTTAAAAATCAAAATAAGAAGAATTGAAAAACAATAATTCTTAAATTAATTTTAAAAAGTATATAAAATATTATATATTTAATTATGTATATTGTACGTATCCAAGAAAAGAAATACAGATTCAAAAAACCTCGTAAAAGATTTTAAGAGATATTTAAAAAATTAAGATATTTTTTTGAATTTTTTTGTTTGAACAATTTGTGTTTAATCTAAATAATATTTTTTATTTACACTACACAACAGATTACTAAAAAAAAATTAATATCTTTCACACGCTATTACAATATCTTTTAAACAATACAGTTGCCTGAAATGTACAAAAAATGATATTTTTCCGACATAAGATTTCTCGACTACAGAGAAAGATATGTTATGGAAAGCATGACGAATCGTGACTCGATGATGATCCAACACGGAATTTGAAGTAAAACTTTATAAATAGCAGCTACGTATTTTGCAAGCAGAAGAGACGCATAGCTCTCTTACGAAAACGAACCAATTATTTACTCACCTATGCATTTACACTTGCCATTACCAAAAATACATACGGTTGGCTACTCACAGAGTCTTAATGTGTATCTTATATGTATATATATATATATATGTATCTCCATCACGCGGAGCTTGATGTGTTACTTATATGTCTTGCACTTGAATTTAAAGCGTTGACATTTAACGCGAGATTTTTTCTTTTTTGAAATATATTTTTTGATTTTGTTCTCCTTGCGAACGCTCATACAGACAACGACACGACTTTGCACACGATATGAAATGAATTTATTTATAATTATATATCAAGATTTCCCAATTTACGCCTGAGATTAGAGCTTAAAATTATTTCAGTACTTTATCCGTCACTCACTATTATACACATATATTTGCATTAGTGCAAAACAGGATAAAGCAACTGCACAAAAGCATTTTTAAAAGCTTGCCATTAAAAATTTTAACATATCTTGTTTGATGTAATTGATTATTTTTGTATCCATGTATTAATGTCAGGATTTGTAAAAAAACTTTATTACTGTTAAAAATTGTAGAATAAATAATTATAGAGAACCAAAAGCATAATTTTTCGTATATAAGAATTCAGCGATCTCTTGCGAACTTTGTAATTTCTATTATCACATTTAACTGTCTCAACAATCTGTATTTTTGTTTCTTAATGTATGATGCAAGATATTTTATTAAAATAAACTTTTTAACTACTTATTATTAACTACTTTTAACTATTTTAACTAAATAAATCTTTTTCGTCACAAAATGTTAATTGTGATGCCGTAGTGTGCATTCTTGCTTCAAAGTTTTATCATACATTAATATTGATATTAGCATTGATATGGAAAGCTCAACGAAATTTCATTATGAAGTTTGGTTCTATCGAAATGCATTCACTTACCGCTTTTGCCAACTCCTGGTGCTCCTATCACAGCCACTTTGACTTCGCACAGCGAACTCTTCTTCCTTCTGATGCCTCTAATTGCATTTGACGTCATACTATGAGCATTTGTTACTGCCGAAAAGAAAATTAGACAGGACGTCGTCAAATTATCGTACAAAAAGATATAATTATCCAAGAGAATCTTCAAATGCATATTCATTATCATTTTTTATCATATCTGAAGAATATTTTCAAAACTTAATTACAATTTTAATTTTATATTATGTATTTTTTAGAAAAGAAGTATATTATAGCTCTCTCTCCCTCTCTCCTCTTTCTCTAAAGAAATTGCAGTGTGTAGCAAATTTAATTATTATGCTGTTATTATTGCGATTGTTAACAATTATTATAATTATTATTATTATTATTATCAATATTATAAATTAAAAATTTATATGCTTGTGTTAGAAAATTAATTATTTTTGAGAAGATTATTTGCGTATTCCTCACTTATTGTGAAACTTCATCGCGCGGAACTAACGCTCCGTTGTTTTGAGTTATCGAGACACGGTCCATTTACCGAATGTTCCATTTCCTCTATAGCGCAATAAAAAAAAGCGAAGATTTTTACAGCACTTCGTGGCATCCGCCGCTTGTTTCTCTTTGGGCGCGTGTTTGAATAAGTCGTGCTATACACTTCGGAAGAGGAAGGGAGCGGCAAAGAACGCTAGTAGAGAGATGTAGAAAGGGAGAGAGAAAGATAGAGCCAGGAACGCAAGGAAGAGAAGGTAAGATGTGACGGGTACATTAATAGAACGGTTTGCACGCACATGTCCCGTGGAATCTTAAGAATTTCTCTTCGACTGTCTAACAATGTACCGGGGTTACGAATATCGGGTACGTGATTGCGATAGTGTGGTTTGTTACGAAATTTTCATGTAATCTCGCGTCAGTGATGTAGACTCGACACCGTTCATAATCGAGTTTATTAAAGTTTAGTGACTTACCAGGGATCTCTATTTAATAATAACATGTCGTTAATCTATTGTATACAAACAATTAATAAATCTGCGAGTAATAAATCGACTTTGTGCGCGAGCGAAATCAAGTGCTCTTCTATTAATTGTTAAAGCATTAACAATGCGTCTGCATTATGATGTATTTACCGACACACCTTTTTAAATATATGCACGTTAACGGGTCTCTTGGAGCATTTTACTGCATAACAAAGTAGCCGCGATCATATAGCGTAGATATAAATAGACGCTGCTATAAGAACGTAAAAATATATAAACCTAATATAAGTAGAGCATATCTAATATAAGTAGACAATATTTAATATAGCAAATACAGCCTCTTTTCGTCAAGAAATATTTTCTCTTTTTTATTGCATGTAACAGAAAAAAATATTTTTTTATAATGTTTAAGAATTATAATGTTTTAAGAGTGTAGACTATCGTGTAAAATCGTGCATTAATCTCGTATAATATATGTATTATTGTAATAATATTGCAAGTTTTAAAAAAATCTATATTTGATAAAAACTTTGCATCGTGTACAAATATATATATGATTATCGATGCACAATAATTTAGTCGAGAGAAAAGCTAGAAATGTACACCAACTATTTTGTATATCAACAGAATATATAAAAAGAAATAATACTATTTCTTTATATACAACTATATATAATATACGCGCATAAAGAATATAAATAATTTGACTGTAACTTACCACTATACACCAATATTGTTTTATTGTCCTCTTTTATACGCTATCTATCGATTCATATCACGATCGAACAATTTGCCGAATAACGAATGTTATAAGTTAGGAATGTATAATTGGGGTTTGCGAGTGTGAAATATAAAGTGTCTCTATCGAAGAATTATTTAATTAATTTTGCAGTCAAAAATTAAAAAATCGAATGCGACGCAAAGGTGTGTCTTTGACAATCGAGCATAGTACTCTTGTATTTTATTTTTCGCCGGATTGCACAATCAAATCATATGGAGATGAGAAAAGATATAATTTGACTGATGATCGCGCGTGTGCCACGTGGACTGATTATGAGTCAAACGTTTCGTTTGAATTCGCGATTTGAACCGCCGTGGCTCTTGGTCTCGGCGCGACTGTCTCGCCCTATTCTCTTCTGGCAACTCGCGAGACCCGCCGGTTCCCTTATTGCTCTTAAGCCACGCGGTATCCGCTTCCGGTACAGATGTGCGCGCAGACGAAGGTCGAGATTCGAAACGGTTGATGTCCCCGAAGCGCCGTGACGCGCCGTCTTTACGTCTTGATAAAATTGGAACAGATATACACGTCGTGGCATGATTCAAAATGAGAAATCAGAATGTAACCGGTATTTTTTAAGAAACGCGGAAGCTTCGCCAAACGCTGATTAAATTACAATTAGTGACAATTACAAAAATTACACCTGGTAATCTATGCGATGGAATAATATATACAATATGTATTTATATAGCATTCTTTGAAAATATGTTTGTTATTCTTTTGCAAAGATTCATGAATAGCGAATAAAAATCTAATGCTAGATACAAAGACATTCAAGATTTTTTTTTCAAGTTTTTGAGTGGCTAATGATGTCGCTTTTTTGAGCATAATAATTTCTGTTAAATAATAAAATTATTGATGCATATATAAAGCCCAAGATAAATGTCATAATACAGCTTTATAGGTGGTCGTATTTTATTATGTTATTAAAGACACAAGGAAAAAAAAAATTATAGGTTTACTCCAATATGACAAATAACAAAAAGTGTTTTAATAAGAATATAAGAATCACCGTTGCTATGTAAATTGCAAAATATTGCTGTACAACCGTTGATAACTTAACAATTTGATATGATATTAAAATTATTTTCATGTTACTACAGAGTAAAACCAAAGATACGGTTTTCTACGTTTATCGACAGCCTTTACTGCAATGGATACAATTCGTTCGCTTAGAGGAGCCACGTGTTGGTAGACTTGAAAATTTCCTCCTTTCCGACTTCATCGATCTGCTCTCGGTGTCGTCTCGAAGCTTCTGGACAACCACCAAAGAACCAGTTTACAATTCGCAACAGAACTGGTTTTGCTCGATCTAAATAACAAACCATTTAATTATAATCGAAAGTTTCCCAAAATTAATTTACATCCATTTGCCATAATAATTATAATAATTGATCATACAATATCAATTTAATATTCTCAATATACATTTAAGTATTTAATGTTTGAACGAATTATTTTTGTGTATTATTATAAAAAGTCGTCAAAGCACAAGGATCTATTATAAATGTAATAATTTTTTAGCTATCAATTAATTTGTTTTAAAGTATCAAGTACTCTCTTCTCTGATATATATAACTTGAACTATATATATAAATTTTTTTATTAAAAAAATTGTATTGCACTCAATTATAATATGTACTCATAATAATCAAGGAATTCTCGGAATCCTAAATGATACTATTTATATTATAAAGAAGGAAGAAAAAAACTCTTATGAAAAAATTCATATTAGAAATTACGAAGAAAATTATCAATTTTGCAGTTTATAATTATTATACAATATACCTACTAATATTTTTTCAAACCAAAATAATATGGTAAGATCTATAATTTATAATGTAAAAGATTATCTTGTGTTTTTTAGAAGCACGATAAAGTTATATGACCACAAAACGCGAATTATGTGAAAGATTTCGAAAAGAAATCGACGGTTTTTTTTTCGTGATCTATCACATAACTCGCGTTTTTTGGAGATTTCTCCTATACATAAAAATTATCATAATTTCTATTATGCAATATATACACACGCGAAATATAAATTATACCGTAACGAGAATCTGCTATTTGCCCGTCTATAATTCTTGTCATGCAATTTTTCCTGGATTTATGTTGGCAGTCATCTGCAACTTTATCGTGCTTCTAAAAAACACAAGATAATCTTTTACATAATAAATTATAGATCTTACCATATTATTTTGATTTGTAAAAATATTAATATGTATATTGTATAATAATTATAAACCGCAAAATTGATAATTTTCTTTGTAATTCCTATATGAATTTTTTCGTAAGGGTTTTTTTCTACCTGTTTCGTTATTGATAAATAATTACTATTGTAATTACAATCTCGATAATCATTATCTTCGCATATTGGTTTATATTCGATGTCTCTTTTATTAATAATTTCTGGAACCGTGCTGGGACTTCCTTTTTGAAACGAAGAAGATTCTATTTCCTACAATAAAAATTCGTGTTAGAAATAAATATGTGTATTGTAATATAAACTAATATGTTTCTCTGCGTGTAGTTATATTAAAAAATATGATATAAAAAATAATGAATTATGTGGATGTTTTTTTATGCTGATTAAATGAATTTTTGCTTTTGATGACATAATTTAATAAATCTGCAGAGAGAGAGAGAGAGAGAGAGAGAGAGAGAGAGAGAGAGAGGTTCTTTACTAACAATTCATTTTAATTTAATATTAATATTTTAAATATTTTTATTGATATTCTTACAGTATTTTCTGCAGCATAGTCTTTATGATTTCTAATGAATTTTTCTTGTTGCAGATTAATACTATCGTTCATCCTATTATCTGACATGTTGCGTATCGTAATCTTTTTTGGAGAAGTATCATGCAAAGTTATTACATTTTTCTTTTCGTATTTCTCATCGATTATCTCCATCTGTCGCAAGCTATCGCTGTAACTACTGATATTTTCATCTTTATCTCATACATATTTTATAATATCATTATTACTTTACTATTTTAATTACTTCGTATAATTACATAAATATTCTAAAATCAAATTTATCCCCGGAATTTGCGATATGTTTAATTCATTGTATAACATTTGAATGAACCGCATATAATTAAAAACATATGTTAAAATCTTATAAATTTTTATGTATAAGAACATAAGTATTGTCAATAAAGAAGATACGTTTGATCAAATTGCCTGCTTGATCGTTTGCACTTTTTATCGTGTATCGGTTAAACGATATTTTGGAGACGATATATAAATGTAAGAGGTCGAGCGTGCGGTTTGACAACAACATATGTCTTTCTTTTTGAAAATGTTCCTCGATGGTTGATGAGCCGGAATAATTTCATAAAATTCTGGTTATTAATGTTTTTAAATAATGCATTCAATCAGATATACAGACATACATGACTGACCCTGTCGTTGCACCGGGTTCTGACGATATATCCTTGAAGGTTGCATTTTGATGATGACGATGATTGCCTCGTGGATGACGCTCGTGTTTCTCTTCGGTGCTGTGATTTGTGTAAGATTTCCTCTTTTCGTATTTACTACGAGATTTTTATATTTATTAAGATTTTAAAACATTAATATATGCAGCTTATTAAATATTTGCACAATGAAACCGTGCTCGATGCAGGTGCATATATCATTTTTTTATAAGCTAATTTTGTAAATAAGAACACATACACAGAAGTATCACACAGAAGATCTATACCAAAATATAACTGACCTCACTAATTTATAATTACTGTCACCAATATCTATTTTGTCGATGTATCTCTGTCCATGATTCTTTGTATTTTCTTTGCATACTTTTCGGTATAGTTCTTGTATTTTTGGCTCTTTATCTTCATCTTGCTCTTTTACCTTTATTTTTTCGTATTCAGTTTCAATCTCAGTTAACGCATATTTCAATCCATTTGCAACAAGATCTATCAAAGCGCAACATGCTTTCCGAGCATCTAAATAATCATGTTTATTCTTTTAAATAAAATACAATATATAAATATATAAAATTTATATTTGTTTTCTAAATAT